AGGGTTCATCCTCGGCAACACACCAAACTAATTTGTAAGCTTTGCCTTCGTGGTTATATAATGGACTGAATTTATAATAAGTTCATTGATAGTATCTTTTTGGCTCGGGTTTAACCGTTTCTCCATTCAATTGCTCAATCAAGTAAATAATTAAGTCATCCGTGATATTTTCATTAGGGTGTTTAAGGGTGGCAATTAAAGGGTTGAGTTCTAACCTAGTAAACCTTTTTTTGTTGATTATTATATCAATAGCATAAGGTCTTAGGTTAGTGGGCTTTTGAGGTAATTTCTTTTTGAGCATAAGGAATATTAATTCTTAGTTGCCGAGGAATGTGCAAAAGGTTAGCATAGGTTATCAATTCATCCAAAGTAAGCTTATCAATGTGGCTATAAAGAATATATTCAGCTCGATAAACAGTTAATCCTAGTTGCTGAGCAATATCTTTGGTAGTTAAACCATTATCTTGCTCATAGTTTAGAATGTCTTTACATAGTTTATATTTGGCTTTGTCCAAAGGAGTGGCATTATAAGCTAAACCAATGTTAGTTCAGCGGTCGCTTTTTCTTGCTCCTTTGATAACTCGCTTTATTTCCTCGTGCGGAGGAAAAGTAAATCGCTTAAGGCTCGGGCTACTTTTTTTAATTGGCATAATAATAGATTTTTAAAATCCTCCTAATTATAGGAGTTTTCAAACTCCTTCCTTAACTCCTCTAAATCCCCAAAATTCAACACTGCTTCCACTCCTAAACCCTTAACATCTTTCAACCATTTAGCTAAGTAGGCATCTTCAACCCCTAAGCCAATCTCCAATCACTCTTTAACCTCTTCCGCCTTAAAATCAGCTTGCTTTCACTCTTTTACCCTTTCCAAGTTAAGTTCACTATTCACCAGCTTTCACTCCCACTCAGTCGGCAATTTAGCTAAAAAGTATTCCACCTTTTCCATTAAATCAGCCGCTACTAGGCTACTTAACACCTGATACTGGGCATTATTTATTTTCGCTTCGGCCTTTCAATCGGCTAAGGTTTTATGGCTCATTAATCAGGCATAATCGGCTTGTTCTTGGGCTAGTCTTTGGGTTCTTTCAGTGGGGGTTAATTCGGTTTCTATTGCGGCGGGGCAGTTAAGGGAGTTATCACTCGGTCAGTGAGTTTCTGGAAAAACATAAGGGCGAGGGCTAGGCTTAGACACAAAGGGCAAGGGCGAGCTTGTGGGCTTAACCGACCTAGTTTCTTGGATTAAATAAAGCACT